GGAATAGGAACTGCGTTTAGGAGCAGGAGGAGGAGGAGGAGGAGAAGGAGGGGGAGGGGGAGGGGGACGAGGAGGAACAGGAGGAGGAGGAGGAGGACGGGCTTGGCCTTTGTAATAGGAACTGCGAAGGGGAGGAGGAAGAGGAGGAGGCCGGCCTTTGGAATAGGAACTGCTGTGGTAATTAGGAGGAGGAGGAGGAGGAGGAGGAGGAGGAGGAGATGACCTTGGCCTTTGGAATAGGAACTGCGTTTAGGAGCAGGAGGAAGAGGAGGAAGAGTAGGAGGAGGAGAGGAGAGTAGGGGAGGATGGAATAGAGGATGGAGGAGGAGCTTGGCCTTTGTAATAGGAACTGTGAAGGGTAGGAGGAAGAGGAGGAGACCAGCCTTTGGAATAGGAACTGCTGTGGTAAGGGGGAGGAGGAGGAGGAGGAAGAGTTTGAGGAAGAGGAGTAGAAAGAAGAGGAGGAGGAGGTGGTCGAAGAGTAGGAGGGGGAGGAGGAAGAGGAGGCTGGCCTATGGAATAGGAACTGCGCTGGTAAGGAGGAGGGGGAGAGGGAGGGGGAGAGGGAGGGGGAGGAGAAGGAGCTTGGCCTTTGGAATGGGAACTGCAGTGGTAATAATGGACGAAGAGGAATAGGAGGAAGAGTGACAGGAGGAGGAAGAAGAGGAAGAGGAGGAGGAGGAAGAGGCTGGCCTTTGGAATAGGAACTGAGGTAATAATGGAGGAGGAGGAGGAGGAAGAGGAGGAGGAGGATGAGGAAGAGGAGGACTGCCTTTGGAATAGGAACTGCAGTGATAACAATGGAGGCGGAGGCGGAGGAGAAGGAGAGCTTGGCCTTTGGAGTAGGAACTGCAGTGGTAAGGAGGAGGAAGAGAAGGAGGGCGATGAGGAGGGGGAGGAGGAGGAGGAAAAGGAGCAGGGGGAGGGGGAGGGGGAGGGGAGGAGGGTGGATGAAGGGGAGAAGGATGGAATTGAAGCTTGGCCTTTGTAATAGGAACTGTGGTGGGGAGGAGGAGGAGGGAGGAGTAAGAGGGAGGAGGAGGTGTAAGAGGGAGGGAGGAGGAGGAGGACGGCCTTTGGAATAGGAACTGCAGTGGTAATAATGGAGGTGGGGAAGGAGGAGGAGGACAGCTTCGCCTTTGGAATAGGAACTGCAGTGGTAAGGAGGAGGAAGAGGGGGAGGGGAGGAAGAAGAGGGGGAGGAGAGGAGGGGGGATGTGGGGGAGGAGGATGGAGTTGAAGCTTGGCCTTTGTAATAGGAACTTCGATAGGGAGGAGGAGGAGGAGTAAGAGGGAGGGAGGGGGAGGGGGAAGGAGGAAGAGGGGATGAGGAGGAAGGGAGGAGGAGGA